GGGGACAGGGATGGAATAGTGGGGTCAACAATGTGGGGACAGGAGTGGGACAGTGGGGTTGGCAATGGGGGGACAGGGGTGGGATAGTGGGGTTGGCAATGGAGGGACAGAGGAACACTGGGGGCTCTGATGTGGGGACAGGGGTGGGATAATGGAGGTTGTGATGTGGGGACAGGGGTGGAATAGTGGGGTCAGCAATATGGGGATGGGGGTGGGACAGTGGGATGAGCAATGCAGGGACAGGGGTGGCACATTGGGGTCAGCAATGCAGGGACAGGGGTGGCACATTGGGGTCAGCAATGTGGGGACAGGGGTGGGACAGTGGGGTCAGCAATATGGGGACAGGGGTGGCACATTGGGGTCAGCAATGTGGGGATGGGAGGCAGCACACTGTGATGCAGGGACAGCGGTGGCACAGCAGGGCCAGCAATGTGAGGACAGGGGTGGCACAGTGGGGGCTGTGATGTGGGGAGATGGGTGGGACAGTGGGGACAGCGATGTGGGCACACAGATGGGACAGTGGGGGCTGTGATGTGGGGACAGGAGTGGCACAGTGGGGTCAGCAATCTAGGGGACAGGGGTGGCAGAGTGGGGGCTGTGATGTGGGCACACAGATGGGACAGTGGGGACTGTGATATGGGGACACAGATGGGACAGTGGGGGCCATCATATGGAGACAGGACAGTGGTGCCATGGGGTGGGGACAGGTGAGCAGGGAGCCCGCTGGGGTGGGGCCTTGGGGAACACAAAAACACTGCTGTTCCCCTGTCTGTGACCCCTTCACCCAGTGGTGACAGGGACTGAGCCCCCAGGCTAGAGCTGGGACCCGCAGATCCTCCCCAGCCAGGCTGGGCACTAGGATGGCATCAAGAATGTAGCTCCAGGGCAGGGACACATGAGGACACAACAGGGGACACAGAGGCATCTGTGGGATGCCCACAGGGGTGAAGCCCCCCAGCCCCTGCCCCACTCACGCTGCTGGAAGGCATTGAAGATGTTGATGAGGGTGAAGTGGTCCCCGTTGGGGTGCAGCAGCGCCCGCCGGCGCAGCGCCACAGCCTCCTCCAGGTATGTGGACAGGGGCACGAAGCAGGGCGATGCTGGGGGTGGGCAGGGGGTCACTGTGTGTCCCCAGCACCCCCCTGGCACTGCTGGCTGCCCCCCAAGCCCCCACAGGGTACCTGTGAGCATGGCAGCCAGGCTGACCATCTCCTCCACGCAGTCAAACTCGCAAGAGGCAATGAGGGCCTTGGCCAGCTGCGGGTCCAGGGGGAACTCTGACATGATGATCCCAACCTCCGACAGATTCCCATCATCATCCAGGGCTGCCAGGTAGTCCAGGTCCTCCAGAGCTTGCATCAGCGACTCAGGGGCTGGCGTGGGACATCAGGCAGCTTTGCCCACTCTGTCCAGTCCCTCCCCAGAGACAAGCCAGGCCGCAGTGATGGCCACAGCCATGGCTGCCCCTTTGTGTCCTCTGCTCCCCACGCCATGCCTGGCCCCCCTGGGCTCTACCTGGGCGGTCAAGGAAGTCACACTGGCCCATGTCAGCGATGTCCAGGCGCTTCAGCAGCAGCACCAGGCGGCTCAGGCTGGTCTCACTGACCTGGGGTGCAGGGCTGGGGGGCATGCGCTGCTCAAAGGCCTCCGAGTACAGGCGCAGGCAGGTGCCTGCAGGAGAGAGGGCAGGGACAGCGTGGGGACAGGTGCTGCTGGCAGTGCTGAGGGAGGGACACTGGAGCAGG